AACGGCAATGGTTATGGGAACGGATACGTCAACGGAAATGGCAAAGCCAATGGAAATGGCAGAGCGACGTATGGTAATGGAATAAATGGATTGTATCAAACGCCGAGTCTCTGAACTTCGCAGTATTTTTTCTATTTATTAAGATTAAGCGAAATTTATACCAGAATAATGATATTACAAAGATCTTTAGTTACAGGAAACAGTATTAGTATTAAAGCTTAGACTATGAATTATGAAATATTAGTAAGAATTTAAATAAACATTTGGTCTACGAAATCACTCTCATAATATTCCAGTATACTATTGTTATAAAGAATGCCCATAGAAAGGCTTTAAAAGCTATTTTCATATTCTATTACAATGTATTTAACTATGTTTATGCTAAAACTGTTTCATGTATAACTGTTTGTCAGTATAAAACTAAAGACTTTTTTCGAAAGTAAAGATAAGCACACGAAAAGCATTGTTTCTTCACCTAATATTATTTGAGTCAAATGCACACACACACACATATGCTGTCTCGAAAGTTTCCACATACAAAATATAATGTATTCTTATTAAATCACTGCTACTAATTTGTCGATACCAATTCTTATGCAAATATTGATAATGTTACTTTGGTATCGCCACCACCACCCCGGGTTTTCGGTTTTTATGGAAATCTCGAGGAAACCCAAATTCAGCTTTATTTTAATGTGAATAGCAAGATTTAATGCTCTTACGGCACATGAAGTGGCTTGAATTTATTCTTGCTGAATATGTACAGCAGATTTAAAAACAGTTTTAAGCAATTTTTTTACATTAAATATAAAAAGGAAAATTCTATTCTACTATCTTAATTAAATTCTAAGGTTAACACTACATCCTCACCTGCTAATTAAAAAATCAATAAAAATATGAAGATGCATATAATAACCAACACTTTAATTTCTCTTTAGTTCCATTCCCGATTCCTTCCTTGGCATAATCGGAATTGTCTCCATCTACTAATTTCCTATATATGCATGTATATATTCACACGTATGTATGTATATACATACATAGTTGTATTGATATAAATATGAATATGTATTATGTATGAATATATATATATATATACACAAATATATATATATATATATATATATATATATATATATATGTATAAGTATATATATACATATAAATATACACACACATCGACATATATATGCTAATATACATGCGTTAAGGACAAGTGTGTTTTTGTGCACACACACACACACACATATACATATATGAATGTGGGTGTGTTTATATATATGTATATATATATATATATATATGTATACATATGTATATATATATATATATTTTTATATATACATATATAAATACACCCACGTATGTTTATATATATGTGCGTGGGTATGTGAGTGTGTATGTGTGTACACACACACACACACGCATATATGTATATATATGTATATATATATATATACATACATTTATATATATATATATATATATATATATATATATATGTACTTACATATACGTATATTTTTATATGCATATATGTATACATATATATTTATAGATGCATATATACATACATGCATATATATATATGTGTATGTGTGTGTGTGTGTGTGTGCTTATATGTATACTATATTTTGTGGTAATCAGTCTGCACCATTCCACTGCTGGACGTAGGTCTCTCCCAGTCTCTTTTAGTCTGGTTTTATGTTCTCTGTTTCCAGTTTCAGCCCCGCATTTCCTTATTTCCTTGCTCTAACTTATCACTGGTCAGTTATTATTTTCTCCGCCTGTCTTGAATTATAACTATATATACATACGCTCACCCCCCCCTTTTATATATATATATATATATATATATATATATATATATGTGTGTGTGTGTGTGTGTGTGTTTGTGTGCGTGTGTGTATAACTGTAATAATATAGTCGACCTTCAATGAAAAACGACTTCTTTAGTTTTTTCTTCTTTCTTAATTCACATCCTCTGACTTGCACTTGATCCATGAGCTTTGTAAGCTTAATTGATAAGGATAATCAGTAAATATCCTGAGATCTCATTGCTGTGTAACCATTCATGAACCATTCTTTTTTAATTAAGTTTACTATGGGTATAGACAGATACAATCGCTTAACTAAAATATGCCGTTATGCAATATATGCATGGAATAAAATATAATTGCAAAGAATTCTGATATACATTTTTTTTCATCTAGATTATATATTACCTGTACATTTAACTATACTAAGTTAAATAGGAATGAATGTATATATATGTATATATCTGTTTGTGTCTGTGTGTTTGTGTGTCTGTTTGTTTGTGTGTGTGGATGTGTAGCCTATGTATGTATGTATATATTTGTTTATATATATGTATGTGTTTGTGTGTGTGTGTGTGTGTGACTGTGTGTGTGTGTGAGTGTATGTATGTGTGTGTGCATGTGTGTATACATATATATGTATGTATGTTATCCTCTCGAATTCTACTTTTCCTGTGCCATTT